CGCCCGACTCCGGCCCAACTCCGAGTCCAGCGCCGCTATGATACCCTCGCCACTATCGCGGCCCTACACTCTTTCCTTTATTTATCTGTTACTGTTTGTTTTGACCCTCGGTCATTGCTGGCCGCTATGCGGCCAACCCCGCTCCCTATTCACATTTGCTTCCGGACCCTTCGGCCTTTGGCCCGGGTCTGCTTCCATTCATTTCTTCCTCCTATATATATACTGTATGATACTTTATTGTACCTTAGCTCTAATATCGATTTGACCACGACCTCTAAGTCCTGACCCTAACAAGGCAACCCCAGTGAGTCCGAAATGAGGGCCAAGAGACAGCTAGGGGGCACAGCACTCCCTCTAGAGTTGCTGAGGCCAAATGCCCTACCCTCGGGCCTTGTCATGGCATCACGGCCATCGTGGCCTATAGCGGCCCGCTAACGGCGACTTTCGGTGCCGACCCTGGACCAGTGTCTAACAGGAGGCGCTGCTACAGGGCCATAGGACAGGAACCACTATCAGCGCCGCTAAGTGATGGGCAATGGCGCGATTTAACAGGCGCGAGTAATGGGCGCAAGAATGGGGGTGCAGAAAGTGGTAGAGGGGCAGGGACTTTGCGGGGCCATGACACCCCACCTCCGTAAGCTCCACAACCTCCAAGCTTCGTGGATCATCTTCAGCACTTTCACCGCTTGTAATGTATCTCTCACGTTTTCCCCTCATCCCTATTTGGACTGCTGCTTCTTCCCATTCTAGCCAGTTAGTCATCATCCCCACTTCTCCTCATCCTCCTGCCCCTCTGGGCCTCGCCCTCCCTACCTCCTTTCAGACATATCACAGGTTCTGCCTTATGACCTTCGGTACTGCTCCGCTTCTGTCTTCCCTTTGTTCCCGTTCAGATGTCTTCGTTCCGATTCGGATCCCCTTTGTTTCCTTGTGCTTTTGCCCCCTCCATTATATATATTGGTGCTTGTACATACTCATTTTGGGCTCAGTCCGAAACCGACCTGAAATGCCCCCTAGAGACTTCCTGCTCGCCTACTGTGAAATTAAGGACCAAATGGACAAACAGCAATGGAACAGCGCTCTGCTTGAGTTGCTGAGGCCAAGGTCCTTCCACGCTAAGTCTCTGATTCCACTCCGGAGTCGTCCAAATCCACCTGTTCTAATAGAACTACAGAGAAGAGGTGTCCAGAAAGGTGTGGAGCTGTCAGGGCACATACCCTGACTTAGCCTGGACCCGGACCCGCGTCCGGACCTGCTCCACTTCCCGCGCACTTCCTGCGCCGCACGCTCCGTGCGCCGCATGATCCGACCCCGGATCCCACCTCATGTGACTTCCGGGTATCCCCGGAAGTTTTCGCCATATTGGGGCCACTGTGGGAAAGTGAGAAGTTAACCTTCTTCTCACTTTCTTACCCACAGTAGGCAAGTGTATCTACTTGCCCCTTTGTTTATATCACTTTCTTACCCACAGTAGCTCTTTGCCTTGAGACTAGGCTGTTACGGGTTGGGCTGTGGGCTATAGAGAGAGGGGTCATGGGGACCCAGGGTCCGTCCCCTGACAGGAGCCCAGAAGTTGTAGTCCAGAAGATTGGGGTTGTAGAAAATATCAAATGATAAAATAATAAGATTATCGAGACTGGAGGTAAGATAGGAATGAGGAGGTACTGGAGGTAAGGAGGTACTGGAGATGAGGAGGTACCGGAGGTGTGGAGGTACCGGAGGTGTGGAGACCGGAGGTAGGAAGGGGGATGGAATGACCAGTTGGGATTCATCAACAACAAGCAAGCCCATCTCCTTTGAACAAGGGGTCTGAGGAGGTGGAGGTATGATGGTAGAGGTCTGGAGGTGCTGTGGACGTAGGTGGGTGGCAGAGCAGGAGAGAGTCGAAAGAGGAGGTAGTCCTAGGGTTGTTGGCATCGACTGGAGGCAGTGGAGAGAGATTGGGAGGGCTGGTGGAGGTCATAGGAGTCGTGTATGGATAGAGCAGGGGGAGGTGGAAGATCCGGGATATGACATTCTCCCTCAACCCATTCAGCGTGTTCGGGTTTTGATTTATCAGACAGTTCAGCCAGGCTTCCCTCTAAATATCCCCAGGTGTGTCCCATGGTGAAATGGAGGTTGGTGGACCACCTGTTCCAGTCATTGCATCCTTTCAGCTTGGCGATAGCAAAGATGGCTTTATAAATGGTTGAGTCTTTCATGGTGTGTTCCTCGGAGCTGATCCAGAACAGGTAAACAATGGTGAGTCAGGACAGAACAGCTTTTGAGCAATAGTCCAACAGTGCCAGGGATTCTTTGGTTGACTTAGAGCAGCAGAGTGGGACTGGGCTAATAACCTGTTAATGGGCTCCACTGAGATGTCAGATACTGTTGATTAGTTGGGTATCCACATCTGCTGTCATATCTGTGCATACCCAATCCCGACCCGACTCCCGGACCTCCTTCTTCACCACCTCCGGAGTCCTACCCTATGTCATATCCATGCATACCCGATCCTGACCCGACTCCTGGACCTCCTCCTTCACCACCTCCGGAGTCCTACCCTACCGCTGTCCATTCCGATATTCGCCTTCGGTCCTGGCACCACACCTCCTCTTACCTCCCATGCCACCTCCACTGCTCCTTCCCACTCCTCCCCTATCTCTGTCCGCTCCGATACTCACCTCGGACCGAACACTGCCCCCCTTGCCACCCTCCTACTACTCCTCCTCCTACTCCTCCGCTCCTCCCTCACAACACCTCCACCCTTCTGTCATCCTCCTACGCTTCTCCCATCCGCTCCGATACTCACCTTTGGACCTGACAACTCTCCTTTCTGCCACTCCTTCCCTCTTCCCTTTCTCCTCTCTCTTCCCTCTGGTACTCTTCCGCCGACCTCCTGCCAAGTTACGACCTTCCACCGCTGTCCCGTACTTCTTACTCGGGCACTGCTCATACCTTTGCTCCAAGCCTCCATCATAGTCCCTACCTCGGACTTTGACTCCACCTCGGTCTTAGTCCATTGCATTGGTGACCTCATACTATGTAAACACCATTGCCAATATTCCTCAGACTTTCAACCCCGCCTCCGTAAGCTCCGTAAGCTCCGTAAGCTCCGAGCTCCATGGATCATCTTCGGCACTTTCACTGCTTGTAATGTATTTCTCGCATTTTCCCCTCATCCCTATTTGGACTGCTGCTTCTTCCCATTCTAGCCAGTTAGTCATCATCCCCACTTCTCCTCATCCTCCTGCCCCTCTGGGCCTTGCCCTCCTTACCTCCTTTCAGATGTATCACAGGTTCTGCCTTATGACCTTTGGTACCGCTCCGCTTCTGTCATCCCTTTGTTCTCATTTGGATGCCTTCGTTCCGATTCGGATCCCCTTTGTTTCCTTGTGCTTTCACCCCCCCCCCATTATATATATCGGCGCTTGTACATACTTGTTTTGGGCTCAGTCTGAAATCGACCTGAATTCCCCCCAAGAGACATTCCCTCTGCTAGATCCGAAATTAGGGACCCCCAGGACGACCAGCAATGGCGCAGCGCTCCGCCTGAGTCGCTGAGGCTGAGGTCCTTCCATGCTAAGTCTCCAATTCCACTCCGGAGTCGTCCGAATCCGCCTGTTCTAACAGTATTTCGGACTCCCTGTTGCTGTTGTCTAGTTCCGACATCGAGCACCTGGCGCCCGACTGCCTCCACCTTCCACAGTTGACTGCACCCTCTGTCTTGGCTTCGGGTACCATCCACCCCCCACCATCCTTCTTCCTCGGTCCCTTGTCGCTTCGCAGCACACACCATCCGCTGCGTCGCATGGGAACCGCCTTCCATTGTGCAGACCAGTATGGTCCGTACCCTTCGGCACTGTCAGATGCGTTTGACACAAGCCCCGACACCACTTTTAGGTCCCTGGGAGCCGCCTTCACTCCCACACCTCACCCCTCGTTTCCCCCCTGCCTCTTGGTCCTTCTGGACCTCCACACCCCCATCTTGGACACCTCGTCCTTGACCTCCCCCACCTTCCGATGCACCGGCTCTTCGCTGGTCATCATCCAAGCATCGACAGGCACTGCTGGCACACCAGTACCCAGGCCATCGACCTACCCAATCTGCTTCGCTTTGGACCGAATCACCCTGGACAACCCCTTGTCACCCATAGCTGGACCCTGTCTCTTAGTTCTAGGACACCTACTGACTCGCCCACTATTCGACCCATTGGTCGAGGGGTTTAAGAGCAGTGACCAGGTCCGTACTCTGAACATCCCCGGCTATTCCGCAATATATCACCCCAGTTTGCCTTCGGACTTCGTCCGTCGGTAGGCACCTCACCCGATTCCCCATTGCACTCCCTACTGCCTGGAATTCCATTAGTAATGCCAAGCGCCCTACTCCAGGATAGCGAGCCACGCTCTGCTTCCACCCCATCTGGCCCCATCTTCCTTCGGACCTCACACCGTTGGTTGATACCACATCCTCCTCTCTCTTGATGACGTTTCTATGCCTGACTTGGCTTGTGGTTCTGATGTCTCATGGCATAACCTGGCTCCCCTATGCGCTCCGTTGAGCGGTAGTTCTTGAGCTCACCTTGCCCGGACCTCCGAACTCCACAACCCAACTCACCCACCTCTACTTACTCTTCCGTCGCTTCGACCTCACACCGCTGGTGACACACACCCCCTTACCAACTTCGAAGATGTTTCATACATCGCCTTTGTCAAATGGACCTTGTCTATTGTCTAGGACACTGGTACTCTACCTCCTTCGAATGTTCCGACTCGGGACCGGGCTTCCGGGATGGGAGTGGCCAAGGTTCGGTGTGCCGCAACCAGACCGGAGCTGGGACAGTCAGGAGGGAAGGTGACTTGGGGAGTGGGGAGGCATGGTGCAGGGGATGGTGAAGTTGTTAGGAAGGTGTGGTGTGGTGGGAGTGCGCAGGGTCGGGATTCCGGGATATGACAGTATCCCCTTCTTAGGACTGAACCCTTGAAGGACATGTCGTGGCCTCTTTCGCAACCACAACATCATGTCAAACTACAGCCAAGTCTCGGACTGGTCGGACGCTCATCTAGAGGATGATTCAGGGGACAACGATCATTTGGTGGTCATCAAGTTGATGGAGCATCGTCATCGTCGAGCAGCCGCGAAGGCTGCTGAGGAACGGGAACGGGAGGAGGCTGAGGAGGCCAGAAGGGCCACCGAAGCATTGAAAAAGAGGAGGAAAGAGGAGGCAGTGGCAAGGAAGGTGGGTAGTAACGGTAGTCTGTCATCTGTTTGGTGGGAAAATGCTGACCAATTTTTTTTTTTGATTAGCGTAAATCTATTGCGATGTCGACACTGTCGACCAGTGATTGGCCCCCTGCGTGTGCCAGGTGCCTCAAGTGCCACATCGAGTGCGTGCCTGGCAAGGAGGGGCTGGGCAAGTCGTCGTGTGTGGGTTGTCGTGACGCCAAGGTACGATGCAAACGGGTACCTCAACACACCGAGGTCGCGTTGACCTATCACCCTGAGAAGAGAGTGAGGGTAGAGGTGGAGGTGGAGGTGGAGTCGCCGCAGATGGAGGCTATCCGTCAGCAGACGGCTCTGATGAGGGATGGCATGGGTGTCAGGGCACGCCCCACCCGACCCTCGCTCCGCTCCCCCTCTCCGCACCGCTTCTCCCTCTTCCTTTCCCCTTCCCCCCTTTCTTCCTTTCTTCCTTTCTTTCTTTCTTTCTTTCTTTCTTTCTTTCTTTCTTTCTTTCTCACATGGACCCCCTTTCCCGCTGCTCAATGTATCACCAGTGCGCATGCCCATTTCCCCTCCTGTATCTCACCGTTCCTATATCGCCGCCACCGCTGCCACACTCGCCCCGCACCCACAGTGGGCCCTCTCAGGATCTCCTGCGGAGGCACCCAGAGAGCTGTGGCTGTGTGTGAGGGTGAGGTGGCGCGCCCCACGTGACCGATCCCGCATGTATATAATAACAGCTGGAGTGGGAACTGAAGAAGTAGCCTTCCCTTCTAATAATAACTCACATTCCCACTTCAGACTAAGTGGTCAGGGACGCTCACCCCGCGACGAGATCGCCACTACGCACAGCCGCTACTTGTCCCACCGAGTCCCACATGCCGGGACCTCACCGCTTTCAGAGCTGTCCCTGACAGTGGGGTGGCTTGCTGCGATCAGTGAGCAGCTCCGGGTCCATAACACCATGATGGGCAGCGCCTTGGCCAGCAGGTCGAGGAGGGAGTCCAGCAACTTGGCTGTCGACAAGGCGGTTATGGGAGATGAGGAGCCCAAAGTGGGTCGGAGGCAGGCTATGGTGCCTCAGAAGGAGGTTGGGGATGAGGAGCCGGAGGAGGTGGACTGTACTTCTTGCAATTGTTTCGACGCGGCCAATGGCTTGCCCAGTACTGCTGACGCTTCGTCCATAAAATCTTAACTCCTCCATTGTACATCGTTCATCCCTCTCTTTTTCTCTTTTTTTTTTTTGATTTAACGAATGACATCCCCCCCCCCCTTTTGTACCGTGCAACCTGAGTGTGACCTAAGAATCGGGTAGTAAGGTGGGAGGTGTCCCTAACTGGTCCTGAGAGGTAAAATTAAAGAAGAGCGGGGACTGTAGACAATGGAACCTCTAGCATATGACCTTGGAAGCGATCATGAATGCCGATATAAACAACCGGTGTCCAGGGAATCCTTAGGAGGCTGGGAAATGAGCCTTGAGGGTACCAGTAGAGGGAGTGGGAAACATGGAGGATTCGGGGATACTGAGTGGGGTTGGTGTATAACCAGTGGTTCCGGGAATTCCGGAGTGATGATACCGGGAAGGGTCCGGAAGAACTTTCAAGTATCCGAAGGAACGGTAGTGAGGGGTTCCTCTGTAACCCAGCAATCTCCGAAATGAAGAAAGCCTAAGTTTGGAGGGTCCTTTCACTAGGAATGGTGTGATGTTTGTGCAGTTCCGAAGTCTATCCTGGGGTCACCGAAAAAGGGGTGTGACTATTATGGGACGACGAGAGCGGAGTGAGTCTTGATGGGACTGGTACCGGAAGTCCTCAATGAGCGATCGGCAGGCATATCCCCTTCTTAGGGTGGACGTCCCAGCGTTCATCCTTCATGTGGGCATGGTACCTGGTTCCTAAGACTAGGAGGGTCTTGGAAGGAAGGATCACAACTCTGATCAATGGGTATCCGAATCACTAGGGTTGGGGGAAATCGAAGGATAGTTGGTTTATTATTTTTTATTTATATATATAGGAGGTCCGGAAGTAACTGTCAAGCTCCATAATATCTCCGGAGGGCTCTTGGGGATCGCGGAAAGTGGGGGAAGAAATGGAGGAGAACAAAGCTAGCTGAGAATTCAGTGGCAGGACGGTCGGTATTCCGAAAGGGGTGGTTAAATCGGAATAGTGTATTCCTTTAGGAGAACTGGGAAGTGCTTTTGTGTTTCGGAGCACTACCCAATCAAATTGCTCAACGGAGCAGGAGATTGAGCTAGCATCCTAGCAATGGGTGGAGTCCAGAAATCCTGAGGGAACAGGTAAGGTATCGATGATGTGGGTAAGGAATAGGTGTTTCGTAGTCCAGAAGCACTAGGCCCATATTTTAACGATTACTCAACGGAGCAAGAGGTAAGGACTAGTGTTTCGGAGACTAGAGGCTTTAATCGGAGTTCAGTAACGATAACCATGGTATAGGGTAGGGGTGTTGGCCATCCGGTATGGGTTCCGAAGGCAAACGGGAAATATGGAGGGTGCAGAGAAGGAAACATAATCTAACGAGGTAGAGTGCTTAGCGTTATGTGAGTTTAACATAGCATTGGAGGTGTTAATGGTGGATCGGATGAAGCGTAACTGTGGAACACAGTTCTGTAGGTGGCTGGGTGAGATCTCGGAGGGTAAACTGGGAAGTTCTTTGCACAGACTTAATATTGCTCAAACCCGGGTCGATCAACGGATCAATAGTTGGGAGAGTCAATGGCATCCTAGAGTAGAAGAATAAGAACCATTTACTGGTTGACGAAGGGAGTGGTCGTCCTGGGTGATCCATCAATAGCTAGGTGGGAGTGGAGGTTTCCGTGTCGGAACGGGTGATTAGTGAGACCGACAGGGTTGTTTTTGGTAGGGCTGGCGCAGGGTTGGTCCCTGAGGTTCTAGGATTCCCAATTAGCAGAGAACGGAGTCTCCGAAAGAAGGATCTCAGGAGAACACAGTTCTCCGAGATAGAGAAGAGAGCTAAAGGACAGGAGAGTGTTAAGAGTCTGAAGGAAGAAGAAAGAAAGATTTCTAATGTAGAGGGTAACTAATAGGAGTTGTTTCAAAAAGTAAGAGTGGGTGTAATGGGTTTTGAAAACAACATTGGAACAGGAAATTAAAACTTTTTCAGAAAAAGTAAGAAAGAGTAGAAGTAGGGAGGTTTGGAAGGTAGGCGGAGACATGGGGGTTTTACTTTCTGATCGTAACTTTGACAAGAATGGTTCTGCGCAGAAGGGTAACGGCTCCGACGGAAGGGTCCGGGGGAGGCGTTGTCAACAAGGGATCATGGTGAGGAGGTAGAAGACTAAGCAGTCCATCAGTAGGAGGATGCTACAGAATATGCATGGATGCATCTAGCGATGATGGGTACACTAGTGCTTTGTCCAGCAACTTGGTAGGAAAGCGTAGTTGCTCAAGAAGGGAGAGCATAAGCTCATCCTGTTCTCAGAGCTTCTAACTTCTGGTGAAGCGTAAAGGGTCTGACTAGTGCACAAGAGAGTTCGGTATCAGTTAGGAAGAAAACATGAGGAGTTGGTAGTGGGAACGGTCGGAAGTGTGACTCTGGGTAACCGGCAATGGTTTGGAGGGTAGTGTCATGACCGACAAATCCTGGGGCTCCGTCAGAGGCGAACCAATGCTGATAGGTGAATCTGCTGACCCGAAACCCATCCTAACCAGCCCCAACCCCATGTCTGGCCCCTGTCAGGGACAGCTCCGAAAGCGGCGAGGTCCCTGCACGCAGGACTCGGTGGGACGAGTAGCGGCTGTGCATAGCAGCGATCCTGTCGCGGGGTGAGTGTCCCTGACCACTTAGTCTGAAGTGGGAAGTTGAGAAGAAGGCTGCTTCTTCTGTTCCCACCCCAGGCACTATTATATACATGCAGCTAGGGTCATGTGGAGGAAGCCATGTCATCTCCGCACACAGCCGCACCTCCCTGGGTGTCTCCGCGGAAGATCCTGGAGGTGGCTGCTCAGTAGGCGGGAGTGTGCGCAGTGCATGCAGCAATCGAGGGGGCAGGGTTAGGTATGTAGTGGTACATAGAGAAAGGGAAATCGACCATAGAATAGAAATAGAAATAGAGATAGAGAGAAAGGGGAAAGTGGGGGAGGAGAGACGGGGAGTGATAGCGGAGTAGTGTGGTATGGTGCGGGGTGCGGCATGGGGTCAGGCAGGCGTGCCCTGACATCACCCCCCCCTTAAGCCGCTTCGCCTCAAAGTGGCTGGGCGGTTCTCCTTCTCTCTCCCCAGGGCGTGGGGGTGTGTTCGGTGGAACTCCTCCACTAGGTCGGAGGCGTGGGTCAGGTGGTCATGCGTGAGCCACTGGTTTTCTGAGTGTGGCCAGCCTGTGTACTTTACCGAGGTACTCTCCAAAAGTGTAATCCTGCGTCATGAAATCATGAGGAGTCATGACATGTCATGACAATTGAATTGAATCAGACATTTTTTACATTGAAAATTTTGGATTTCATGACAGTTTGTGACAAATTGTCATGAACTGTCACCAAATTTCATGAACCATCATGAACCATCATGTGCTGACAAGGTTCATGACTGCTGGTGACACAATATGACATGATGCCTCATGGAGGTTCATGAGTGGTCATGATATTCATGCATGTTCATGAACCTTCATGACCTGTCATGACCTGTCATGAAGGTTCATGGAGTGTCATGGAGTGTCATATGTTTATTTTGACCTTTCCCCATCATGTAAAATGCTATAATGTCCCATGATGCATCATGGACATTCATAATGCTCCATGAACATGTATGATGAGTCATCAGCATGCATGAATATGCATGAGATGTCACAAGCACTTATGAACATGTCATGTGACAGACCTTATTTGTGACAGCACTGACTGATCAACCTCCAACTCATGGACTTGTGTTGGCACTGCACTGAACTCCACTTTTCCTCCAGCCACCTTTGCTGCTTGGTGTCAGAAATGGTGTTTGAGGGTATTCATGGGAAGTGGAGCAGAGTATGGTGGTGTGAGTGATCACTTAGCTGATATAGGTTACTCCATTTCAAGGTGTCAGGGGGTTGGGATGTTGGTTTCAATGACTCAGTGGGAGCGTTGTGCCACACACTCTCTAGGCTATCCTGTATTTCAGGTGCAGCAGAGGGAACCTTGTGGTGATGTAGGCTCAAGGTAATCTACAATGCATAAATACAAAAGGAAGAACAGAAGAGGGGCTGGTCAGTCTGGCACCTGAATGGGAGGCAGAGCGGTGAATGCAACAAACTAAATGAGGGATGAGAACCAGGGAGACAGAGAGTGAGAGAATGAATCAGAGTGGAATGAACAATTAAACAAAGAGGCAAACTAGGGAGGCAACCTGAGAGAACTGACAACCTGGGTGCCAATATAGTAGCAGATCAAGTGTCAATATAGGGACAGATCAAAGGTGCCAATATTGGCCACTAAAGTTAAGCAAATGGGCAGGAACAGAACATGTGGGTGCTCAGCAATAAATGAATAGCATGTAGCCAAGTGATCAGGAAAGTAAGAGTGGTGACGGGAAGGGAGAAGGTGCCAATGTGGGATCATGGATGGGGTCAACTATTGGCACCGCTGAGTGACAAATTATGGAGAGGACTGACAGGGCACGATAGGTGGTGGGGAAGTGGGAGAGTGGTAACAGGTGGGCACCTTTGGCAGGGCCATGACACTTGGCAGCACACTATTCATTTCTTGCTAAGTACCTAATACATTTATCTATTCATTCACTTAACTCACCAATAATGGCACTTGATCCACTTTATCTTGGCACCTAGGTTGTCAGTTCCATTCAGTTGTTCTTCCCACACTGATAACCCTCACCACTCATTTGTTTACTTATTCATTCTTCACTTCCCATTACCTGGGTTTGTGTCCTTGATTCAATTTAACAATCCCCACTCATTTCTGCACTCAACCGACTGGCCCTTCCCATGATTTCTCTCCCTTAATTATACCTTTCAGGGACCTTAGTCTGAAATCAACTAGAGCAACCCCTCCTGTCTGGACAGAGTCTCAACTTCTGCAAAAAGGGGGCTCCCCCCCTCTGAGTCTGTCCCCACTGAGTTTTGCCCTATCTCCAACAGGCATGCTCCATCCACAAGTTTGCTTGAAGTCCACCATACGTCCCTGCTCCACAAATAAGGGATCTCCCCCAGATGTCAAACTCAGGGCACAG